ATTTTCCCTTCTGATGTGTCAGTGTTTGTGTGGAAGGCAGGAGCAAAGGAGGAATAAGAGTGTCKTTGGGAAAAGTGCTGGCTCAGCACCCATGAGTTCATAATTTGGTCCAGATTAGAAAAAGTGTGCCGCAGAGCAAGTAGATTTCTGGACACTTTTTTTTTTCTTATTTGAAATTCTTTAATAAAAATCATGGAATTTGAGGTATTGGATAGGCTAAAAACTGTTTTGTCATAGTGATCTTTTCCTGTGTTGCACAGAGATGAGTGTGACATACAGTGTGGTATTTAAGAATGCCCTGTGATATCTTTATAACATGGGGTGGATAGAAGAGGCTCAAACCTGCTTTTCATCACACTGAAAATTGGCTAATGAACTACTTGTCTGCCTTGTYATGGATAACAATCCTAATTTGTGAAGTTTGCTTACATGTTGACTTGAATTAGTGAGACATCTTTTGGGAAGTCCTATTTATCAGTGCAGGCCCTAAGAAAAATTACTTCCCTATTCCTGTGCCTTTACTCCACCTCTCTCTTCCTGCAGCCTCTCCTCACTCTACACTCTAATCTGGTCTTTTCTGGAGGCTGTAGTACTTCATCCTCCACCACTTCTTCCAGTGTTCTGTGGGAGGCTGAACAGCAGAAGGAGCTCGATTCTGCTTGGACAGCTCTGAGCCCCCAGCCAGGAATGAGGTGGTCCTGGGTCAGCCCATGCTGCYTTCTGGCCCAGCCAGGCCATGTGTCCTGTTCAGCGTGCCTGGATGAGATTTTTTTTTTCCAACAGAGGCTTTGGGAACTGACCCAAGTGTTACTGAAAGGATGCAATACTCTACAGATACATAATTACTGGTACACAGGCTGTTAACAGAAGGATAAATCCATTCCCATTCTGATTTTCATGGAGGTAATAAACACAGGGGCTAAGTGAATAACAACCTTGTATTTTCACACATGAAGCATAAAATTGGAAAAAAAAAAGCCAAACCCGGTCTGATTTTTTTTGTGCATTTTCAGTTCCGGAGGCCTCATTTCTTAGCTGTTTTTAAGATGTCTACCTGTAACACAAACGTTACAAACCTTCCCAGCTTTCAATAGCAAAGAGCAATAATTAGCTKTCAGAGTTAGGTTTTTTGTTTAGTAGTAAACATCCTACATCATCAGTTCATTTCCCATGTGTGTGGGTATGCTGTGGTGGTGCATCCCCCCATGGGGATATATGGRCCATATGCTCACAAGCCATCATTTCTGCTTACCTGACAAATTCTGAGTTCAGAAACGTGCACTTTGCATGTTCTAACACACTGTAACTAGACTAACCTCTTCTAATCACTTTACAGGTATTTGGAGGTTCTGATAGAAACATGTTTTCCATTTGAAAGGCATTTTACAATTCAGAGTTCCTGTAGTACAGCAGGAAAGAGATCTGCATGATTAGCTTAAATTAAAAAAAACCAGCCACAGGATTAGCAATCACCGTTCTCCTTAAACTTACACTTCCATTAAAAGAAAGTGTCTAGCTCATATAATTTTTACAGTTTTAACTGTTTCCCGTTAGGTCTGGAGGTAGATGTTGAAGTTATTCTGCTCAGCAAKTCTGAGGTGTTTAGTGCAAAAGTGATTCTCAACATTTGAACATTAAAAATAATGAGTTGTTACAATTCTTTTGAACACATAATTTCTAGGCAGTTAAGAAATTGCTAGAGAACAATTCAGGTGGAGAAGAGTAAAAGAGTAGAATAATAAACATAGCCCAGTAATGGGGAGTGATGTCTTGRTACACAGAAGGCTGGATGCACTGTGAAGTAATGGAAAAAGTAGTTTACTCCATTCCAACTCCCTCCACCCCCACACCTCCCTTACTATCAGCTATAGAACTAGTAGTGGTAGGAAGTAAGATTCACTGATTTTGAATTAAATATAACTGATGCATAAATTTGGCATTTTGCCAAATTATTCATTGCTGTATCTGATCAGATACTGTTCATCAGTGATGTTCAGTTTTATTTCACAAATCCCAAAGATAATATTCAATTAACTTTTCTTTGGATGTAAAAGTTAAATATATTATTGAAGAAAAATTAAATACAAATATATTATTGAAGAAAAATTAAATAAAAAGCTGTTAGATGTGCCGTGTATTTT